AAAGATGAAACTTTGTTGCATAAATACACATTTAACCTTTGTTAACAAAAGTTATAATGCATTTTTTTTTAAAATCTCAGGCAGTTGAATTATGGTTGGTGGATAAAGCAGTGCTCCCAATTGAGAATTCTGTAGGGGGAAGTATTCATAGAAATTACGATTTACTCCTTCGTCATCGGCTGCATATTGTTGGTGAAGTGCAGTTGATTGTTAATCACTGCCTCTTGGGTATGCCTGGAGTAAGAAAGGAGGAATTAAAGCGTGTTTTAAGCCACCCACAGGTTTTTTTTTCTTTTCTTTTTTTGAAATCTTTGGTGCTGTTTCTCTTTATGAAACTTATTTGTTGTAGTGTAAGGGTAAATTGGTCATTTAGCCATGTTTGGACGGTTTATTCGGTCCGAAGAAGAAACCGTCTTTGTGTATATATATCACTTAATCCAGACATACAGCATTACCCATTCAGCCACTTTATTGGTTTATACCCCTAGAGGAAAGGAAAAAAAAAAAGCAAGCACTTAATCCATTAAGCTATATATGAATGTTTCTTTTTGACTTAATGCAGAAGAACGGCTTTCCGCATTAACTCCTAAGTTTTTTACAAATTTGCCCTCATATGTAATATGTTTTTCCCTTACATCTCCATAAGTGTACCCTCATTTTCTCAAAAAAAAAAAAAATTAAACATCATTTATCCAGACAGACAACATGTTGTCCCAATAGCACCTAAAGAAGAAACATGTTAAGTTGGATTACTTGTTTACTCATTATTGTTATTACAATAAAATATACAAGATTCTTTTATTTTGTGTTTATTGAATGGTATTTTAGAGAATTTACCACATATTCAACACCTTCCTCAAACTATATATAACATATCAAACAAGCTGCAATTTTCATGAAAGGAGAAGAGTACATGTTTTACTTAAAACATTGTGGTAAAACTAATAAAGATTTTCTTTCTTCAACTATGAGTCAAAGGTCTAAAATACCCTCCTACACAAACAAAAAATGTTGGCATTTATTTTGTATGTGGATGAATGATGATACAGGCACTTGATCAATGTGAGATTGCACTTAACAAGTTAGGCGTTGTGAGGGTTAATGCAGAAGATACTGCTCTTGCAGCTCAGGTAACCTTTTAATTTCTATGTTACATAAAACAGGATTATATGCAAGAAATAGCAAATGTACTTTCATTGATTCGTTTTTATAGCATCTTCATTTTATAGCAATGTCATCTAAATATAAAGCAAGTTTCACAGCTATTATTGGATACATTTTTGTAAGTGTAATGTCCTAATAAGGAAAAAAATTTGAAAGTGTAATGCTATAAATAAGTGGATCTTTTAAACTACAATGTCTTTGTAACAAAAAAAAAAGTAAGTATACAATATTGTAATAGAAAGGAATGAAGTAGGGTGCTATAATAAACAAATAAATGAAACTATGTTGCTATTTCTTGTGTTTAAACTTTTAATATTGTGTTTTTTTTCTTTGTTTAAAATTTATGTTAAGAGTTTTTTTTTTAATAGATTGTAGCCTCAGAAGGCATACTAGACACTGGAGCAGTTGCAAGTTCTCGAGCTGCAGAAATTTATGGGCTTGATATTCTAGCACAAACAATCCAGGTGTCACCTAGTTATTAATGTTATATCTGTAAACATGTAGATAAATACAAGGGCATTTCGGTCATTATACCCCCATAAAAGTTTTTAAAAAAGATAGGCAACTATTTGTTGCACTTAATTTATGTATTGATAACATTAAAAAAAAAATAGCTCATAGTATTTTCAAATATACGTTTCTCCTTTTGTCTTATAATTGCTATATTGAATGTCCAGGATGATTTAGATAACATAACTCGTTTTCTAATACTAGCAAGAGAACCTATAATCCCAGGAATTGACAAGCCCCATAAGGTAATAAAAAAAGTTAATTTATTTTATTATATATTAAATCAAATTGTCAAATCATATAAATGACCGAAAACATTATTTCAATTTTTATATTATCTTTTCGATTTTGCAGACGAGCATTGTGTTTACATTAGAAGAAGGCCCAGGGGTCTTGTTCAAGGCTTTAGCTGTGTTTGCTCTAAGGGAGATCAACTTATCAAAAGTAATTTATTTTTTTTCATCCTTTTATTTAATATTTTTGTTGATTATAAATGCATATTTGATAATTTTTTTTTTTTTTGCCTCCAAATTTGTTTCAAGATTGAAAGCAGGCCTCAAAGGAAGCGTCCACTTAGGATTGTTGATGATAGCAACAAAGGGAGTGCAACGTGAGTGCAATTATATTTATATGTATATTTATATTATGCTTGATATATTTATATTTACTAGGATTGTAAATGAAAATCCTAAATTTATCAAATTCATCAGAGTTCACATATGACTTGGGTGTCTTTCTTATTGACTTAATTGAGATAGGACTTAGGGAAGAATTGTTGTTTGAACAAAGACTGTTTCTTTTTGTAACTGAATGAAAGTCTTAATGAAAGTAATTGACCATATCACCCTTTTTTCTGTAAATGATGTTGAATAAAAAATGAGTGGTTATATGAAATAGTTATATAAAAAGTGTTTGATGTGAATGCTCAATGCTGATACAAATACAATATTTTTTAATCATACCAGAACTAATAACTTAAATTCAACATAATATCTAATATTCTAATCATAAGAAACCCATGTCATCTAAAAAACCATAATTTCCAACTATATATCGATGTTTATTTACTTAATGCAGAAAAAGCAAATTAACAGTGAAAGTTAGGGAAAGAGGTTTTCACATTAACTTCCAACTTTTTTACAAATATGCCCTCGTTTATTTATGTCCTTTCATTTCCACAAGTAGGTCGTTGTTTTATTGAATATTTTATAAACATCATTTATCCAAAAACATTAATTCTAAGCAAATTGTGTGACACACGAATATGGCAATATCAGTAGCCCAAGAGATTAGAATATACAAAATTGTTCCATATGATATATATATATATATATATATATATATATATATATATATATATATATATATATATATATATATATATTAAATGTGACATTTGATTTTTACAGGTACTTTGATTATCTATTTTATATTGACTTTGAAGCTTCGATGGCTGAGCCTCGTGCCCAATATGCTCTTGGACATCTACAGGTACAATCCTGTACTTCATAACATATGCTTTCTATTTTAGATTATCATTAAAAGTTGTAACTTTCCTTTTCCGGAAAGATTCTAATCAAGTTTGCATATGTGCTGATTAGTAATCATTACAACATATATGTGAAAATTAATCGTTCACAAGTTTTCACTGTTTTGCCTTAGGGTTATGCAAAAAATAGCAATGTAGTTTAATTGATTTGCTTACTACAGCATCCTACTTCATGTCTTCCTATTACAGCATTGTACTTTGGAAAGCAATTTTTGCTGATATAATTGGATAGAATTTTCAAGGTATAATGTCTTAATAAGAAAAAAAATTGAAAGTACATTGTCTTGATGAAAAAAAAAATGAAAGTAGGATGCTAAATTCAAAAATAAATGGAACTACGTTGTCATTTTGTGTATTATCCCCTTGAAAAACCTACCAAATTATTAGCAATGTCCTCCATTGCAAAATAATTTTCAGTGCTATAATTGGGTAGATTTTTCGTAGTAGGATGTTCTTAGAAAAAAAAAATTAAATCACAATGCTTATATAGTTGGTTAGATTTGTAGAATACAATGTTGTATTAGAAAGAAATGAATGTAGGAAGTTATAATCCTCAAATTAATGAAAGAATGCTTCTATTCCTTGCATTTAACACTTTGAATTTTGTTTTACATCTTTTGAATGATGATTATTGCAGGAATTTGCAAGGTTTATTCGTGTTCTTGGGTGCTACCCAATGGATACAGCTCTATAGATCATGACTTAAACCCTAAACCTTTTTGTACGCCTTGTACTACATCACTTTGACAGCTGTACGTTATCAACTATATTGGAAGAGAAGACCATAACATAAATCCTTTCTTTTATTCGTTTTTTTTCTTCTCTTGTGTTGTATGCATTTTAGTTTGATCGTTGCACAGCAAAGTAAATTTGGAAACCATTCTTTTTTTATTTTCTTTTGTTTCGTGTATTTTGATGAAGGAATTGTTGGATAGTGGTTGTGATAAAGATCTCATGCAAAGTTTTGTGACTTTGGATTCTTTCAAACACAATAAATTTGGTTCCAAATCTTTGATTTTTTTTTTCTTTTTTTGCGTTTAAGGATGGTATTGGATGCACATAGATAGGAAGACACTTTCTACGGTTATTTTTTTATGATGATGAGGAGGGCATTTACGTCTTTTGTGCATGTAACCAACACTCTTGAGTGCGACAAGGATTTGCAATTCTTATCTTATTGACCGTAGTGTTAACCTTAGTCTAATGCATGTCAAACAAGCCCACAAAAAAAATCCTAAAAAGCCATCACCACTTGCGCCTAGGAACACTACATACATTTTGGTCCTCATATTTCAAGGTTTTAATATTTTTACACTTATAGATTTGATATTAATATCCACGGAAATGACCGTAAATATTAAAAGTGAATAATAAATTAACACAATTTTGTATACATGTTGGAGCTAATTAGAACAATTTGATTTCCATGACTTTGTTTTCTCTATTTCAAGCCTATAATTCATGTGTATATAGCTTATGTGATTATATCAAATCTCTATTATGTCCATTAAATAAAAAAAAAAATGTTTACTCAAGGACAGTAATACAAACTAGAAAACAAAATAGGGTTCCCGTAACTCGAGAAGTTGGGGTCTTTGATTAGTTTAAGTCTGAAAATAATATTCTCAAATTTTACTTAAAAATGCCTAAGGCCCTATAAAAAACAAAAGCAAATGTATTCTAACGTTGGGGTCTCAATCAATGACACAACACAACACACAACTGTCGTGACAAATGACACAAAGCAAAAGTGTATGAAACTGAAACTCAAATGTGTGTCGTGTTCAAAATTGCAACTTTTTCTTTTGTCTAGCCAAAAAGAAGGGACAAAACATACTCACAATCTCTCGATCATTTGTGCAAAAGACATAAATACCATCTCCTTATCCATGTAACAAACACAAACACAGCCAAAGAGAAAGCATTAGAAAAACTAAAAGCAAAGCTTCAAATGAACAACAAAAGCAATCAAAAACATTCCATCAGCTAAATAGATGATAGTAGCCCAAGATTCCCTAACTTCTAGGACCAATCTTTATTCGGGTTTTTTCAAAAACAAAAGTGACAGCCATATGGAAATGTATCAATTTGTGGCGACGAAAACATCTTTGGCTGCAACTATGAGGAAGAGCCTCATTAAGACCAAGACTAAGCTGCGAGTCATCTCATGGTGAACATAATCCGCCAAAATCTCTTCAATTCCATTGTTTATATGCCAAAACAGAGCAAGATTTGGTACGAAAGTTGAAGTCGCTGTTGAACCCAACCCTAGTTTAGCCGCCTGCAAAAAAAACAAAATCCAAACTCTAAAATAAAATGAAAGATGAAGATAGGGGGCAAAATAGTCAATTTACTTTAGGCTTGACATCCCAATTTTAACGCCCTCCAAGTCAAGGACCAAAAGTGCAATGAAACTACACTTTAGGGACTACCCATGCAAAAAAGTCAAAACATATAGACTGAATCCATAACTTTGGTTGGTTCTACATGATTCCACTATATTGCCCTTTATCAAAGAGTGTTTCAATTCAAGTATTTAACATAAATAAAAGGCCGGAAAAAAAAAAAAAAAAAAAAAAAAAAAAACAACAACATTACTACTTTCACCACTTTATCATTATACTTTTATTGAGTGTTTAAAAACATAGCCTACTTTCACTAGTCTATCAACTTGGACATTGAACTATTATTATAATAATAATAATAACTTAATCACTACAGAAAATAGTTAAACGGGTAAAATCAATAAAATGGTGAAAGTATGTTGTCCTTTTCTCTATTCTGCCCTGTGCGGATAAAAGATTTCCTAAAACCATGTACCCATCAAATCATTGCAATTCAATGTAAGGAGTAAGAAATTTACATTTATTGATATAATTTTAAATTACACTAATCAATGAAATGATATTTTAAATGGTAACAAAAGGATTTAAGTGGTTTACCTGTGGAGCATTTACAATGGGAGCAGTTAAAACACTTCCAACCACAGCACCAGATGCAGTAAAATAACCAGGGGCCTTGTGTGCCATTACCTGTGTAGGATTTACAATTATAAATTTACTTTTATTTATGTAGTCTTAAACAACACTAATCTTTTTTTTTTCTTTTAATTTCCAACTTTAATTAAATTAATTTTGTTATTATTAGTTCAAAAAGTAACTAAACATATTTTTTTATTTATGATTTCTATTTTAAAATTTTATAGTATGTTGATCAATTTAATTTTTTGTTTTTGCAAACAAATTGTTCTAGTGAAATATAATTCCTATTCACTAATTCTTGTATACATACAATATTTTTATATGTACCTTGCTATTAGCCTATTATAGGAAGAAATGAAAGTAACATGAGAAAACTAACACATCAATGGAAGTACATTTGCTATTCTTTTTGATATAGCACTGTTAAATACCTTATCTGTTTGAATTTGGGCAATTGGTTCACTGATATCACCACAAACTGTGGGCCCTGTTTGCAATATGAAAGAAAATATATAAAGAATTGCATGGATCATTATAATAAAAATTGTTGACACAATCAAAGAAGCATACCACTGTGTGAAGAAAAAGATCTAACCCATTTTGGGGTTAGAAAATCAGTTTTAAACGATGATACGTCCCTGTGCCACATAAATTGTTGTAAAGAAATGATAAGTTTTAGCATTAATTCAACAAGACTAATGAACAATGAAGAGCTAAATGCAAGAAATAGCAATGAACTTGCATATTTAACATAATGAAAAAGGCATTACCATTTCTTGCGTTTAGCCAATGATGTAAAAAAAAAAATTCAAAAGTGCATTGCTATTTCTTGCATTTAGCAGCCCAGAGAGAAAAAAGAGTGTTTATTTTACCTTAAGGCTTTTGAATAAACAGGAGCACCTGTAATAGTGTAAGACATACATCATTTAGTGATAAGTTAAAACATTTGTGATTTTTAAGTGTGATAACAGAGACACTCTTATGTAGGAGAATGCATGCATACCTTGATGAATTTCAGGTACTAGTTTTGATCCTCTTCCAAATGCCTACCACAATTGCAAAATATATATATAGCAACAAGTAATCTCATAGGAAAGATTTGAATAGCATACAAACTCTAAATTTAAAACTAAATTTAGCTCTAACAAGATGGATGAATACAAGAAATAGTAATGCACTTTTGTTCCATTGTTGTGAAATTTAGTGACATAGTCCCTTAGATTTAAATATATAGTTCTTCAACAATAAAAGCAAACCTTGTAAAGTGTCAATTCTCAAAAAAAAAGCAAAGAACTACATATGTATGTTTATCATCTAGACAATGTGACCATTGAACTTCTTCAAGCACTAGTGAGACTATTTGACATAAGATGTGTAAAGCCTGTGCCCCTTGTATATACTAGCATCATCATTAGTTTTAATAATTATGTCTCCCTTTAACCAATTTAAAGACTAAAAAGTGTATAAAGCATATGTAAGCTAAAACACAATATATTATGTTAAAGTATACATACATTATTAGCCACTGCAGATGAGCACAGAGACAAAGCCTTCCGCCTGATAGTTCCACTCATCATCCTTATAATCTTCCCTACATAATATGAAGCATGCAGCATCAATATAAGCCAAAATGTTATGTGGGTATAAGTTCTCAAAATTAACTCCCCTCCCAAACAGAAGAAAAGAGAATCAAAACCAAATAGAAGTTATGACTGCCTAGAAAAACAGGAATTCAACTTGGAACAATCAATGATTTGTTTTTGGACTTTAAAACTTAGGTGATTTCAAGCTTTTTTGTTACAAAAGATGAAAACCAAATTAAATCTTATAACAAGTCTTTCCGAAAACTGTTTTCAAACAATACGAAGCAGTTATATCAGATCAATTTTGTATTTTGAATGTACCGATTTGGGGTTTGAAACATCAGCAGTCTAGATTATCCTAATTTGAAATATATTTAAGCTATATATTGATTGAATAGTCCTAATGGGGTATTAGTTACGATTAATGATCAAATGACTTTTTAGTATGATTTATGCAATCAAAAAGAGCTACGGAGCTGTAGAAACAACAAATACGAAATGAGGATTTTTTTTTTTTGACAAAATATAGTTACCCTAGAATGATCTTTAGGACGATATGTATCAAGACCTAGATTCGATATCCGATTCACAGTGGACTACCGAGAATAGAGAAATTAAGACTACAAAAAAAGAGAAATCAAGAATGTTCGTCTAATCTAAACAGCAAAGAAAAAAAAACCATACCGATTTGCTTGCAGTCGAAGAAGGAATACCGAGAAAGAAAAAGGATTAGCGAGGAGAAACGCAAAGAAAAATAGCGTACCGATTAGCTTGGTGTCGCAGAAGGAAGGTTGGTGACGATTTGATTGCAGTCGATTGCGATGGTTGAAGGCGACGAATGTGGGTGCTGATCTGCTTGGGTGTCGAAGAAGTGAGAATTAGAAGAAAAAATAGCCTGTTCAGAGTTGTTCAAATCGCTGATTCGGACAGAGGGTAATAAACGGTTCAGAGTTCTTTTACCTCCTTCCCAAAAAATGGGATGGCAAAAAAACCCGAACCCGACCGGAAAACCCGATTCCCGAAGATTTTGGGCTGGGCCGGGTCGGGTCGAGCTTATCGGGTAACGGGTCGGGTATCGGGTATTTATTTCAGGTTCGGGACAGGGAGTGGGGTATGCGTGCCTCGACCCGACTCGCCCCGAATATATATATATATATATATATATATATATATATATATATATATATATATATATATATATATATATATATAATTACATTTAAGCCCCTCAGATACTCTAACCCTAAAATCACGTTACCACTTATCGATTTCTATTTCCCTTCTACCTTCTCTAATCTCTTCCAGCCGACATCATAAGACTCGAAGGCCTGATTCCTAAGCTCGTTCCGTTTCATCGAAGACTCGAAATCGAATTGTAACACCCAGAATCAGAAAGGCCAAGAAAGGAAAGGAAACCCTAAGTCAAAAGGGGGTCAACTCGTCGAGTCCAAGGAAGAACTCGACGAGTCGGAGCGGGATCCGTGTGCAAGATTAAGTGACCGACTCGACGAGTCGGAGAGTGGACTCGGCGAGTCTGGTCTGGGTTGGGAAAGCCCTAATTCCGGGACTTGGTACCCTATTTAAGCATCTTATTCTCTTCCCTAGGGTTCATTACAGCCTCTCTCGTCCAGAACCCCAAAACCCTAGCCACCCAACTTCATTTTTGGAGCTTTTGGTGAAGATTAAGGTCCATTGGAGTGGATTTTGAAGGCTTGGAAGAAAGGAGCAAGGAAGGAAGTGTAGATCCAGCCTTCACATCGATTTGGCAACTATTAGAAGGTAAAAAGTCTGGACCTTGAGCTTTCAATTGATAGATCCCCTTTCTAGCTTGCTTTTGGTCACATTTGGATCATTTCCAAGGTGAATCCGAGTATTAAACCCTTGAGGATGGTTTGGACAATAGATCTGGACACTCTTGAGCTTTAGAAGCTCAAAGTTGTTGGCTTTATCCAGCTAAGGTCCCATTTCATGACCTAGGTCTTCATTGAAGCTTGGATTAAGTGTTTTAGCCCCATAACACCTTGCATGCACGTAAAGTTAGCAACTTTACGTGCAATGCTAGCATAAGGAGTCCAGATCTATGAGTTGGAGGTGTTGGGATGGTCTGTAATCGACAAAATAGAGATGCCACAAGATGGACTCGGCGAGTCAGTTCATGGACTCGGCGAGTCAGGTCACAAACCCAAACCCTTCTGTTTATGATTCGGATCAGTGAGTGGAGTTAGTAAAGGATTCAGCCAGACTGGGTCCGTAATGGACATGAAGATCATAGTACTCGACGAGTTCGAGGAGGAACTCGGCGAGTCCAAGACAATCTCCTTAGTTATGAATATGAACTCGACGAGTTGTTCATACAACTCGGCGAGTCATGGTCTAGACATTCATACGATGATGATGAACTCGACGAGTTCAAGGATGAACTCGGCGAGTCGGTGGAAGATGGTCCCGAAGTGTTAGTGAAGGAGAACCCGTCGATTTCTCGCTAGACTCGACGAGTGGAGTCGGGGTTGTTTGGGATTTGAGGAGCATGGACTCGGCGAGTTGGTAGAACAACTCGGTGAGTCGAGTCAACTGGAAGGTTGACTTTGACTGGGACTTTGACCTTGAGAAGGACTTGACCAGAGTTGACCTAGTTGACTTCTGGAGGGCAGTTAGGCTAATTGTTATTGTTGGTATTGGTAGCTCGGGGAGCTAGAGGAGCAGCGGTTCAGAGAGTTGTCGGAACAGCAGCCAGAGGGTTATCAGCAACTTCAGCAGTTTGAGGTGAGTTTCCCTTTGTGTGAATGGGTCTACGGCCACAATGCCGACCCATGTAGTTGTGAGTAGGAAGACCCGGGGGTTAGCCCTAGGCACTGTTGCTAGTATGATATTCAGGACCAAGGTCCAATGTCGGGCGGGTGCCCAAGGAATGGTTTGCATGATAGAGTATACTTGTTGTCTGTGTGATACTTGTATGTGCCTGGTAGGGGGTGAGTGTGGGCGAGGGCCCATATCTCACTATTAGCAGAGTATGGATGGGGTTCCATATCTCATCAATAGCCAAGCAGGAGCGAGGCCCAAGTTAGGAAGGGAGTGAGTGTGGGTCGGGCCCGTATCTCACTATCAGTAGGAGTGTGGATGGGGTTCCATGACTCATCAGTAGCAGGACAGGGGCGGGGCCCAAGACAGGCGAGGCCTTAGTACATGAATACATCAGAGTAGTTATGGTTTATGTGTTATGCGATATGTTATATGTTTGTATATGTTTAGCGGGCGGGGCCCAGAGACAGGCGGGGCCTAAGAGAAACAGATCTGTACACCGAGCGGGCTCGAATCCAGGCGGGGCCTGGAGCAGGCGGGGCCTGTTGTAGCGGGCGAGGCCCAGTATTTACAGTATGCAGTTATGTGTATGGTATGTGGTAGGGTGGGGAAATCACTAAGCTTCGTGCTTACGGTTTTCAGTTTTGGTTTCACGTATTTCCAATAGCGGAATGAAGAGCTCGGGATGATCGCATGGCACACACCATTGTTTAGTCAGCCTGGGATGTTTACTCTGATAAAATGAATAAGTGTTTTGGAAAAGATACTCTGATTTGTCATATATCCTCTTTTTGTATGTTTGAATGACTTAATGCTATGGATTAGTAATGTTTTAAAAGAAATTTTTGGTCATGATTCTTGGGACGTTACACGAATCCAGTTGCCTCCGTGCCTCGTTGCACTCATCTATCACCCATGTCCCCTCGCAGCCTCTCTAGTCGATCGTTCATCATTGCCTCATTAATTTTCATCACCATCGTTTGGAGAATCGGCAATTGCAGACTCAAAATCGAAGGCTCGAAGTACATCTGTTCGACACAATCTAAATCCAGGTAAGAATAAGTTCCAAATCCATTTAAGATTTAATGATGCTTCTGATTATTTGATGATTTCGAATCTGATTTCAAATTGATTTTTTATTATGTTAAATTGAATTCTGATTTTTGATTATCTGTTCGACACACCTGTTCTGTTTCTGTTTAAGATGATTTCGAATATGGTTTATGAATTATTTTTTATTATGCTGAAGCGAATTCTGATTTTCTGATGGATTTGAGCTGATTTGAAGTTATTATTTGTACTGATGAATCTGATTTCTGATATTCAAATGCATATATTAGTTGATTTATTTTCAAATGAACATTAGAACATATAGGTTACCCTGATTTTGTTAGCACCTGTACACTTAATTACATCTTCAATAAGATAACCCCAAAAAATTAATTTGCTATTCTTTTGCATCATAGAATATAGTAAACCAGACATAACCATGAAAAGAAAGGCAAAAGGAACTTACACCATTTATTCTCTTAGTTGTACACCCATTTGGAAAAAGATTTGAATCAATAGTTGTATAAAAGAATATTAATGATAATAAGACCAGGTATTTATTCATCAAAATGTGACATGTATGGTCCAAATTGCCATTTTTTCAAACATACAAAAATATGGAAGACACATGCAATGATTTCATATTGGTAACTTATAGGAAGAACTCAACTTTTGAGATGTGAATTTATCGAGATTTATGAGATTCATATTAATAAAAATTGATCTGCAAACTAAATCAGTTGCAGCAGCAGCGAGATTCAAGCGTATAAAATGGAATATGAAATTGAGTGATATTTTTGTTAATAATATTTTTGTTAAATTGCTTTTATATTTTCTTATATACAGCAACATGTTCTAAAGAGACCGAGGCATATTGTCGTTCTGTTGAATTTGATTATGATGTGGAAGAGGTAAAACGACACTTCTATGAATATTAATTTTATATAGTTTCGACGATTTGGTTTGATTTTGAGTTTGTTTAATATTTTGTAGGAAAACACTAAAGAAAGCGGGACAACAAGTTTGGATGATTTTGTTTGATTTTGAGTTTGTTTTAATGTTAAGTGGTAATGTATTATTGTGATGAAGTAGTTTTTCATATTTTGTACTTTGTTGTTTTGATTGGTTGGTTGTTGTTTTGTACTCTTTGGTTAAATGATTTAAGAACTTATTTGGTATTTTAAGCCTATGCAACTTCTTAATTTCTCATTATGTAATTGTAGTTTTTCCAATTTTTTTCTGCCATTTTTCGGGTTTTGGGATCGGGTTTTCGGGTACTTATCGGGTTTCGGGTTTAGGGTCGGGTTCGGGGAAATTTTTAGCCCCAACGGGGCGCCCCGATAAGAAACCCGTCAGGTATCGGGTCGGGTCGGGAACACATTTAAAAATCGGGTTCGGGTTTGGGAAATCATGCCCCGCCCCGAACCCGCCCCGTTGTCATTCCTACCAAACATACTACCATAGGATGATCTATCCTAACGGAGGAGTGATGTCACTATAATTAAATTTAAATAAGAACTCCATTTTTAATATAAAAAAAAACATAACATTTCATTACTTCAAAATAAAAAAAAATAAACATAACATTACATTAAATTTAAAAAAAAAACATAACATGACATGACATTAAAAAAAATCCTAAACACTTAAAAAAATACTAGAAATCTTAAACCTACAAACTTTAAAAACAAAACACACATCATAACGATTAAAACCTACAATCTTAAACCTACTTAACATAACGTTTTTTACGTTGGCTTTCATCGCCATAACAACTTCAAGCTCCTCCCTGATCATGTTCGATGTGTCCATTATTAGTATCATCATGTCACTATCCATTTGTTTCTGAAGCTCTCTTTCGGAAGCACTTTGCAAAATTTTGTTCATTCTTTCTTTTATACCTTTCATATCGTCCCCGGTTTCTTTCAAGTCATCCGAATCTGATGTTTTGTCTTTGTCTTTGTCTTTGTCTTTGTCTTTGCTTTTTCACTTTGTCCCTTCCCATTGGTTGGGAAGGTGGTGAAACTTGAACGGGTATATCATCGTTGAGGTCGAAACCAACACGAGCATCAGATGTAGTGTGGTCGGATTCAGATGTTCTTGACCGTATTGAACCACTATCGATATGCTCTTCGGATGTTTTCTCACTTGCCATTTTTTGTTATCTTTCACGAGATTCCAAAAGTCAATAAACCTGAAAGTCTTCTTGTTTTCTTTTTGGTACATTTTTAGAGCTTTCTTCGAAATCACTTCATCACTTTCTCCGCTTTTCCATTGACGTTTCATGTTGTTATACAACTCATCAAACAACATGACTTCCTTGTTTGTCTTCCCCCATTTTGAGTAAATTTGGTGTTTTGAATGATACTCAGGAAGTTTCATTCCCTTTTGGAACCTTTTTGTAACCCGCATCCAAAAAAGGTCATGTTTTTTGTCTTTTCCTGTCGTTGCATCTTCTGAAATATTGATCCATGATTGTGCCAAAATGAACACTTCTTCAGGATCCCATCCTTTAGCCACCGTCTTCTCTTTTCTTTTATTTGGTGCTCGAGCGGGTTGAGTTCTCGAACGAATTCGGGTTCGGAATCAGAAATGAGTGTTTGTGATTTGTGGTTGTGTTTATTGAAGAAATTCAGTTTGAGACAAAAACTCAAACGGATTAAAATCCGGATCGGGTTGTGGTTGTCTTTGTGGTTGTGGTTGTGTTGGTCGTTGTGTTTGTGAGAATTGTTGTGGATAATAAGGTAGCATACCGCCATAGTGATAAAACAGGAGTGAATAAATCGATTGATCATACGAAGGTCTCGGGGTTGTAGTGTTTCTAATGAGTGTTTTTTGATTGTTTGGATAGTTGGAAGAAGACATGTTGAGAGTTTTTGAAAAAAAGATGGTGAAAGATAAAGAAATTTGATTGAGGTTTGGTAAAAAAAAGATAGTTAATATATATAGGTAAAATAAAAAAAATGAAATTTGAAAATTTTACCGTTCAAACATTCAAAAGAGGAGAACCAATCACAATTTGCGGCCTATTTCTACCAATGTGCGGCTAGATTGCACCCAAAACCACATAGGGGTGGTGTTCCCCTGCCACGGTAGCAAGGGTTGCGTCCAAACCGCACCCCACTCCCCAAAGCCTTATTGGACATTAAGAGGATTACCAAACAATGCATAAAAGCCTAAACAAATTAACTAATTGAGACCATGTAGTTTTACCTTGTCGAATGCGATGAACAACTGCAGATTAATTGGGTGGGTCTACGATTTATTCTTTTTTCTATTATAGGAAAAAAAGGAATTATTTGAATTCTGAAGTATGGAGAGAAAGACCCGCATATGTTATAAGTATGGATAATATCGTCCAATCTCAGTTGTGTCGGATCTGTCATTTCACATGTAAAGATATGAAGATCTATCATTTCACATGTCAAATGTTATTCCACTAGTGAATTGTCATGTCACTTTGACTAGGAATTTCATATATTTAATATATTAAGATATTTTTTTCACCAATCTATTGTCATTTTATCAGAGAATTATCATGTCATTTTGACCATGAAATGTATGCTTTGACTATAAAAATGTACACTTTGTTATACAACTAGTAGATTATCATTTCATAGTGAATTATCATGTCATCAGGAATTTTAACAATTTGATGATAAATGTCATACTCTTTTCCTATAATTATGGTATATTTTACTCATTACAAAATTACTTTCTTTCTTCCATGTTGTTGTCGGTTGGAGCTCGGCATGTTTTGCCCAGTGGGTCAAGTGTTCACTCGATTCAGAGTCTTCGCCGAGTTTTTACTAAAAGTGTCTGCCCCTTAGGTCGTGATATCATATTTATTTTTTTCAACTAGTTTGAGTTATCTCAATGTATTTTAAAATGGGTTCATCAAATGGAGTTCAACAACAAAGCTTTGGCAACCTACTAATACTCTTTCATAAGATTGAAAAAATCAAATCCCAATACCATAACCAGAATCAAGAAAATGACATGGACCACTTTAAGTTATGTTTCATGGCCTAAGGATGTGTGGTAAGATATTTTTGTAATGTATACATTATGTATTTGTAGTTATAGTTTAACTATTATTGGTACCATTACTTTTCTAGATTCAAGCATTTCTAAGGCGCATGTTGTTGGATTAAGGTGTCTAAGGTCTTATGAAGCATCCCAAAAATCATGATCAAAAATTTCATTTTTAATATTTAAATAAAACCATTGTTATTAAAATCATCTCATCAAAACATAAGTCATAGTATCTCAAAACAACGTAAACAGTATATCCATATCAAAACATCTATCAAATATATCAGAGTAAACATCCCAGGCTAAAACATCATAGTGTGTGCAATGAAGTCATCCCGAGCTCTTCCCTTTGCTACCGAAAGTACCTGAAACCAAAACTGAAAACTGTAAGCACGAAGCTTAGTGAGTCTCCCTAAACTACCACATACCATACACATAACCACATAGAAACATATCGTGGGCCCCGTCCCTTTACTTGGGCCCCGCTCGGCATCGGACAATGTTCGGTATCAGGCCACACCCGGCATCGGACAATGTCCGGCATCGGGCTCCGCCCGACATCGAGCAATGCTCGGTATACATATAAACATATCAACAAATACACATAAAATAATCACATAACATAAACATATAAACATTCCTCGGGCCCCGCACGACATCAGACCGAAATTCGGAAGCATACAAACATTCCTCGGGCATTGCCCGACATCGGATCGTAATCCAGAAACATACAAATACAGACACATGAAAGAATCACGAAGACATCAAGCATACAAACATTCCTCGGGCATCGCCCGACATCGGACCGTAATCCGAAAATCCTATAAGCATACATCGGGCACCGCCCCGCATCGGACCTTAGTCCGGAGCATACTAACATAAATATACGGTCCGACATTGGTGCCTTCGATCCGTTCATACAGGAGGAAACTCACCTCGCAAAGTTGAATCTCACGGATAATCCTCTGCCTGCTAGCTGTCAGATCCCCGAACTGTTGATCTCTCGACTCCTCGAGCTACTAATCATCATATAAACTAGTTAAGTTCGAGATTCTCATAACTTAACCATAAGTCCTCACTGGGGTAAAAGACCATTCTACCCCTCACATACTCTTGTCCCAAAATGAACTCTACTCAACCCTTGGCCCAAAAAGATAAACACTCCTACAAGGCCCAATATATGGCCCAATCTCCAATTGGGCCCAATCTATTCACATGGACCTCAACCTAAGGCCCAATAATGCTTCTCTAGTACAAAGGTTCAATTCCACATGGCCCACTAAGCCCCAACATAGCAAAGTCCAAGGAATAGCCCCAACCGAGGCCCAAATGACGCAAAGCCCAGTACGCGGGGCGTACTCCTCTGTACGCTAAGCGTACCGGCTACATGGCTTGTACGTTGCGCGTACTGGCTTGTACGCTCAGCGTAATCCCCTGTTAAGCCATAATCTCAAAAGAGCTTAACCCCTTAAGGTCTAAAGCTCCAAACACAAAATCTGAGTCCAATAAAGTGTCTTAACCAATGTTTTTGAAAACCGGTTTTTTAATTGAACCAGTCGGGTGACGTTTTCCGGTTCAACCGGATGATCAAACCGGTTCTATATTTTTATATGTTTTTAATTGTCCTGCATACATTGTTTACAAACCTTGTCATCCTTTTAGTATTACAAATGTAAATAGATTGCAACATATAAAAACAATCATTATAGAAGCCAAAATCAAACAAAGAAGCCCAAAACAAACACAAAAATCCAAGACTGTCCGGTTCAATCCGGTCCATTCTGGTTCAATTCAGCCGGTTGAACCTATTTTTTACCAAAACCAGACAGTTCAATCCAGTCAGGAAATCATTATAAAACCGGTCCAAATCGAATCGTCCTCACCTCCGGTTCCCGGTTCGACCGATTCAACCGGCCGGTTCGAACCGATTTTTAAAACACTGGCCTTACCCGCCTCTCGGGTATCCACGGCATGGGCGACATACCCTACGCACCCCTGATGGAGATATCGCCTAGCTCTCGCTGCTGAACATAAAGCTGGTCCACGCTGTGGCCTCTCACCCTGAATCACCAGCTCTCCCCCACTTGGGGTCCTGACCCGGACCAACTGTTGCGCGCAGTCGATCACTGCCCCATTAGGGCTCAACCAATCCATACCTATAATAACCTTGTTCCCCCACAATGTTATGGGAACCAAGTCTACCAAGTAGCGCTCCTCGAACAACCTCAAAACACAATCCCTGAAAACCTTTGCTACTCGAACTGATCGGTCGTCCGCAATCTCGACCTCTAAAGGGCAATCTAACATGCCTGAAGACTCAGAGAACCTCTTGCTAAGCGCAAGAAAGACAAATGATCGGGTGGCACCCAAATCAAACAACACCTGAACTGGGATTTCATTCACATGGAACGATCCTAAACAAAACATATAGCATGGATATAAATTTCACTGTAACGCCCGCAGATTCGGGCTAGTCAATTTAGAGACAATGAGCGTCAAAAATGAGTTTTTGATGGAATATTATTTAGAAGGATTAATACTAACCAAGTTGTAGTATATGTTACAAGGGTTCCGTACATATAAAGAACGCTGAAATCCGAGTTATAACAACGAAGTTATGGCCCGTCGAAGTTTCACGACAAAATAGGCACGGCACCGGGAGACGTAAATAGTGAATTTATGATAGAGTACTTTTTAGCCTTAGTAATCTAAACAAAAGTCGTAGAATATATTAAACCGAGAGCGTCCATAAAAATAACGCCCAAATCTGACTTCGTATGAGGAAGTTATGAATTTTCTAAGATTTGGCATAGCAGTGCACGGCCCGAAACTCGAATTTTAGTTCAAGCGGT